GTGTAATGGCATCGTACATGAGGTCTTCATGACTGGGTAATGTACTGCTTTCCAGGCCCACCCGTGTTGCAGCAGGACTGCGCTTCATTCCTTTTATAAGTGAAGCTCCTTCCGGTGGCAGAGCACACTGTGTTCACCTCTTACTCAGCTGACGGGCATCTGGGCTGTTTCTGCCTACCACCACAACAGGAGCGATGCTGCTGCGAACATCGGTGTGTGTGTGTGGACAATGTCTTCGTTCCTCTTGAGTCTATTCCTGAGAGTGAAAAACACTGGCTTACACGGCTGCTCTATATACGCCGTGAGGACCTGCCGGACTGTATGCCAGGGTCACCGTGCCATTTCACAATCTCCTCAGCAATCATGTGGTTCTAAATTCTCCACATTCTTGACACCGTCAGCAGGTGGCTATCTCACTGAATGTCAGTCACCCTAAAGGGTGTGAGCTATTGTCAGGGTGGACTGGACCCGCAATTTCTTAAGGCTAAAGGTATAGAGCATCTTCCACGGGCTGACTGGCCATCTGCCTATGTTCTCTGGAGAAGCGTCTATGCAGATCCACTGCCCATTTATCGTTGAGTTGTAAGAAGTCTTGGTGTTGATATGTCCTGGACGCAAGTCCCTCACTACAACTATGCCCTACAAACACTTTCTCCCACTCTGTGTCTGCCTCTTCGCTCTCTTTCGGTTGGACTTATCCAGGTCAAGAAGTGAAAACCGTCATACCCAAATCAGCCCAGATCTTCTGCTGATAAATCAGAAGCCAAACTGAGCCTGTAAGACCCTCCTCTGGGGTGATGCTGTAGAACCAGCACATGCAGATTCCCACCGCAGCACTCGTAACTGACAAGTACCAGAATCACCATCTCCATCAATCAGGGATTAGTAAACTAGGCCAATCTGTCGAAGAGTGCTATGAGAAGATGAAGCTATTTTTACCCTTTTTGCTCTAATCCAAAGTGTATGATCTGAATTCTTTCTTGGTAAGTATATCTTCTTTGGTAAATTTTTTTTAAAGCTATAAAAAAAAAATCTGTATCACTTTCAGAGAGCAAGGCAGTGATGCCATTTACAGGCGTCAGCATCTCTTAAAGCACTGGTCACTGAGGCAGACTATGCTAGACGATGCTCATCTTTAGGCCAAAACCAGGGAATAGTATACTTTCGGGCAAAAATATAATTCATAAACATCAAAAATGCTTTGCTTTCCACATTTCAGCTATCTGTGATGGAAAGACTCCTAAGTGCAAGCACACTGTCCTCCTTTTCAGTGCCTGCGTCACCATGCCTTTCGAGATCAGTGGTCTGCTCGCGAGTTTCCACATTCAGTCAGGACGTGAGAATGCACTCGGCTAGAAGTATGCTTTCACCGATTTCTGAGTACAGTGTTCATTTAAAGGGAAGCCCCCTTCAGGATGAGCCTGACTAACCCTGCCCTCCAGCCACAGTCCCTGCCTAACGAGCACCACGTGGTGGCGTTCCCCAGGCCCCCTCGGGAGGGCGCATCGACCACGTACCGTGTTAGCATTCCAACTGAGTGGCAAGCTCTTTGGTTACAATCACCTGTAAAACACTGGCATCAAACACTAGCGTATCTCTCTCTCCCGGACTCCAAGTGCACCTCCGGAATAGTCTAGCAAACCAGGTAATATATCTCGCTACACAGACGAGGGTAGGATGGGCTTCCCACCGCGCACTCCCCTTCAATTTCGAATCACGAGACTGTTTTACTATCAGAAGAAATAAAACTTCACGAAACATTACGCATGGCTTTTAAAGACAGCACTGCGGCGTCCACTCTGTTCCACCTCTTCCCTAGATGCAAAGGAAGCTCTGATGGTCCAGAGAGGTCATAACTCATCCCTAGTCCAACAGGATGGGAGTGGCGAGGCCCAAATCAGAGTCGGTCTGTTTGCACCTCTCTCTGCACTGCTGCTGGTTAGCTCGGAGAGCAAGCCACGTGGTTTAACGATCACAGAGCAAGTGTGGAAGGCCCTCTACCTGCAGCTCGGCCGGGTCAGTCCACTCCAGCTGCAAACTGAAGGGGCACTCCTCTGCTCACACAATCCGAAGCCACCTCCGGATGTTGGGATTGGCGTACCTGTTCATAAAAGTAGAGCGCTCTTTCAAAGTTCTTTAGCCCGGTGTAGATCATCCCTCCGTAGTAGTAGTAACAGAGAAAGTGCTTCGCATCGTAGGCGCCATTCTCTTTACAGATGTCCATCATGTCCACGTCCAGGTACGGAAGGGCGGGCTTAAAGCACTTTGCCAGCAAACAAAGCTGTGAGCAAACCGACACTGCGTCACGATTTAATTTACTTTGGCAGGCTTCAGCAGGGTCAGGACCTCTGTAGAGTCCACAAAGCCGCAGAAACGGTGTGATTCACAAGTTAGTGACTAAATTGCTCTGAACATCAATGCATTATGGATGGGTATGAAGCGGGAACTCCAGACACAGCTCAGGGATGGCTTAACCCACTCATCACCACCAGTCACAGTGTGTCCTTCTCACTGGACTAGCGGACTAGAACGGGACCAGCCCGGTGCAATAAAAATGCAAGTCTCTCGGGCCAGCAGGTGGTCTAGTGGTCAAGGCATGAGTCCCACACCTGGCAGCTTGAAAATCACACTGGGTGCGTGTGCGTGCGTGCCCAAGAGAGGAGAATGGAGGAGAAGGGATTGCAGCGTGGCCACCCCCAGGGGCTGAGTTCTCGCTTCCTGTCTCTCTGTCTTTCTGGTGAGCGCAAGTGCCCTATAGCAAGAATATGTATCTCTGTCTGCTGTATGTGCAGGGAGCACCTGTGAAAGAAGAGATGGGTGGCTAGCGCACCACACCCTTCCCTTGCCTCTGGACTTTGAGCCATGCAAATTAAAGAAATGAACATCTCAAGGTGTAAAAAGCTACCTGGGTTTATTCTCAGGTTCTAGAATTTCATTACAAGAGAATGACTTTCTTTTTTTAATGTTACAACTGTTAATTACCCTTGCTGTTCTACAACCTTACAGCGTGGAGTACTTTGGATGTGCTGGGTTATTTCCCCTGGGACGACACTGCACCACCTCCACCACACCGCCCAGCCACCTGACCCCTCGGACCCTGCGGCCACTCACCTGGCAGAGGTCGGCATGTATTGAGGTCAGCTGATTTGTGTTCATCTGCATCTTGTCGATGGCTTGCTTAAGGATGCCAATTCCTCGCAGGGGCTGTCAGAAACGACACCTCTTTCAGATAAATTCTCAAAGGTGGCAGCATATTGGATCTTATGTTGTCACTTACAAACAAAAAATAACACTAATTGATAGGTTCCTTGAAACAGCACTATGAGGTCTCCATATACTCTCAGGGAATGTCTGTCCCCATTCAGTCAGAGCACGTTTTCCTTAGGCTGTTTCCAGGAATACTTAGACACTTCCATACCATTTTTTATATCAGAAAGCTTTTTATTTTTTAAACAAAGACCAATAATGAAAAACAGTACACTTTCTCGACAGTTCATTTCACTGACATGTAAAGACACTGAGCGTCCCTAAACTGTGTGCGTGTGCGTGCGTGCCCAAGAGAGGAGAATGGAGGAGAAGGGATTGCAGCGTGGCCACCCCCAGGGGCTGAGTTCTCGCTTCCTGTCTCTCTGTCTTTCTGGTGAGCGCAAGTGCCCTATAGCAAGAATATGTATCTCTGTCTGCTGTATGTGCAGGGAGCACCTGTGAAAGAAGAGATGGGTGGCTAGCGCACCACACCCTTCCCTTGCCTCTGGACTTTGAGCCATGCAAATTAAAGAAATGAACATCTCAAGGTGTAAAAAGCTACCTGGGTTTATTCTCAGGTTCTAGAATTTCATTACAAGAGAATGACTTTCTTTTTTTAATGTTACAACTGTTAATTACCCTTGCTGTTCTACAACCTTACAGCGTGGAGTACTTTGGATGTGCTGGGTTATTTCCCCTGGGACGACACTGCACCACCTCCACCACACCGCCCAGCCACCTGACCCCTCGGACCCTGCGGCCACTCACCTGGCAGAGGTCGGCATGTATTGAGGTCAGCTGATTTGTGTTCATCTGCATCTTGTCGATGGCTTGCTTAAGGATGCCAATTCCTCGCAGGGGCTGTCAGAAACGACACCTCTTTCAGATAAATTCTCAAAGGTGGCAGCATATTGGATCTTATGTTGTCACTTACAAACAAAAAATAACACTAATTGATAGGTTCCTTGAAACAGCACTATGAGGTCTCCATATACTCTCAGGGAATGTCTGTCCCCATTCAGTCAGAGCACGTTTTCCTTAGGCTGTTTCCAGGAATACTTAGACACTTCCATACCATTTTTTATATCAGAAAGCTTTTTATTTTTTAAACAAAGACCAATAATGAAAAACAGTACACTTTCTCGACAGTTCATTTCACTGACATGTAAAGACACTGAGCGTCCCTAACATCTACAATGGGCGAGAGCCTACGCAGAGACTGACTGGACAAGGGTGCTGCACGCTCCCGGGCAGCCCAGCTCAGCCTGGTATACAGTGCTACTGACACTCAGACCACAAGTTTATCTCCTGCCTTGACCTGAAATAACAAAAGTTGGTTTCAAGTGAGGCACGGTCAGTTTCTGGATAGAACACGAGACAATGCAAATGTTATTCATAGTTTTTAAAGATTTTTTTTTAAAGGTTTCTGTCATAGTGTGCATGCACTTGCCAGGGAGAGACAGTGAGAGGGAAAGTTAGAAATCACCCTGGGGGATGGCCATGCCACAGTCCCTTCTCCTCCATTCTCCTCCTGGGACTTTAGGCACATACACACATGTGCCCAGCATATGTCTCAAGCTGCTGGATCTGGAAGTCAAACTGCAGTCAGCTATGTGGGAGTCTAGTACCTTAATTACTACGCCACCTGCTGGCCCCAAGATTTGATTTTTTAAAAATAAGAATTCTTTATTATTATTTAATTTGCTATAGGGCACACGTACTCATGAGAGAGAGAGAGAGAGAAACTAAGCCACCAGGTCTGAGACTTGAACCATGGTTGGTCACATGAGAGTCCAGCACCTTAATTACCATGCCAAGATTTGAATTTTTTTTTAAACCAACCTTTTCAGACACAGTTTATTTGGTACTCTTGCAAAGTATCAACTAGTTCTTTTCGCTTTCATTCTCCTTCAAATCATGAATCTCAATAAAGTTCAATTAAGAAACACTACCAGGCCAGCAGGTGGTGTGGTGATTAAGGCAGTCAGATCCCACATGGCTGACTGTGGTTCATGTCCTGGACCCAGAAGTTGAAAAATACGCCAGGCACATGTGCATCCATGCCCCAAATCCCAAGAGGAGATGGCCATCCCGCATGGGGGTGCTTTCCCTCTCTCTCTGTTTCTCTCCATCAAGTACATGCACCCTATAGAACATTTTTAAAAAAGAAAGAAATACAAAAGAAACACCAAATTATGACTTGTGTAGATACCACCACAGATAAAGACCAAAGAATCGTTACAGATTAAAGGAGACTTAAAAGACACATCAATATAATGCAACCACAATCCAAGGTTTTCCTTTGACTCAGAAGGCACTGGCTGGACAGCTGGAGAAACCTAAACCGGGTGTGCAGACTTGCTGAAGCATCAGAGCAACATTTACTTCTGAACTGGTCATCTATTGCACATGCAGGACAAAATCCGAATTCTTCAGATGTGCCACTGAAGGGAGTAGTAAACTAACAGTAAATTGCAGATACACTTCTTCCAGTGATTCCAAAAGAGGGAGAAGAGGAACAGAATAAGCAATACGGTAAAAGGTTCACATCTGGGGTCAGACAGGGCGCAGCAGTACCACCACTGGCCCCACCAGGGAGAGGCCTGGGCGTGTCCTGGGACCTCAGTGAGCACACGAGGTGCCTGTGATCCTGGCTGGCCGAGACCAGGGCTGAGGGCAATGTGAAGACACTATCGAGGTGCCTGTCTGTCTGTCTGTCTGTCTGTCTCATGGAAGAAATAAACTTACAAACTGCTGAGATGCACAGAATCTGGGCGAGGAGTACATAGGAATTCTTCACACTATTCTTGTAACTTTTTATAAGGCTAAAATTATGTCATAATTAAAGTCACCGGAATAAATTTAACAAACACAAACAGCACCGCACAACAAGACACTGAGCGTCCCTAACATCTACAATGGGCGAGAGCCTACGCAGAGACTGACTGGACAAGGGTGCTGCACGCTCCCGGGCAGCCCAGCTCAGCCTGGTATACAGTGCTACTGACACTCAGACCACAAGTTTATCTCCTGCCTTGACCTGAAATAACAAAAGTTGGTTTCAAGTGAGGCACGGTCAGTTTCTGGATAGAACACGAGACAATGCAAATGTTATTCATAGTTTTTAAAGATTTTTTTTTAAAGGTTTCTGTCATAGTGTGCATGCACTTGCCAGGGAGAGACAGTGAGAGGGAAAGTTAGAAATCACCCTGGGGGATGGCCATGCCACAGTCCCTTCTCCTCCATTCTCCTCCTGGGACTTTAGGCACATACACACATGTGCCCAGCATATGTCTCAAGCTGCTGGATCTGGAAGTCAAACTGCAGTCAGCTATGTGGGAGTCTAGTACCTTAATTACTACGCCACCTGCTGGCCCCAAGATTTGATTTTTTAAAAATAAGAATTCTTTATTATTATTTAATTTGCTATAGGGCACACGTACTCATGAGAGAGAGAGAGAGAGAAACTAAGCCACCAGGTCTGAGACTTGAACCATGGTTGGTCACATGAGAGTCCAGCACCTTAATTACCATGCCAAGATTTGAATTTTTTTTTAAACCAACCTTTTCAGACACAGTTTATTTGGTACTCTTGCAAAGTATCAACTAGTTCTTTTCGCTTTCATTCTCCTTCAAATCATGAATCTCAATAAAGTTCAATTAAGAAACACTACCAGGCCAGCAGGTGGTGTGGTGATTAAGGCAGTCAGATCCCACATGGCTGACTGTGGTTCATGTCCTGGACCCAGAAGTTGAAAAATACGCCAGGCACATGTGCATCCATGCCCCAAATCCCAAGAGGAGATGGCCATCCCGCATGGGGGTGCTTTCCCTCTCTCTCTGTTTCTCTCCATCAAGTACATGCACCCTATAGAACATTTTTAAAAAAGAAAGAAATACAAAAGAAACACCAAATTATGACTTGTGTAGATACCACCACAGATAAAGACCAAAGAATCGTTACAGATTAAAGGAGACTTAAAAGACACATCAATATAATGCAACCACAATCCAAGGTTTTCCTTTGACTCAGAAGGCACTGGCTGGACAGCTGGAGAAACCTAAACCGGGTGTGCAGACTTGCTGAAGCATCAGAGCAACATTTACTTCTGAACTGGTCATCTATTGCACATGCAGGACAAAATCCGAATTCTTCAGATGTGCCACTGAAGGGAGTAGTAAACTAACAGTAAATTGCAGATACACTTCTTCCAGTGATTCCAAAAGAGGGAGAAGAGGAACAGAATAAGCAATACGGTAAAAGGTTCACATCTGGGGTCAGACAGGGCGCAGCAGTACCACCACTGGCCCCACCAGGGAGAGGCCTGGGCGTGTCCTGGGACCTCAGTGAGCACACGAGGTGCCTGTGATCCTGGCTGGCCGAGACCAGGGCTGAGGGCAATGTGAAGACACTATCGAGGTGCCTGTCTGTCTGTCTGTCTGTCTCATGGAAGAAATAAACTTACAAACTGCTGAGATGCACAGAATCTGGGCGAGGAGTACATAGGAATTCTTCACACTATTCTTGTAACTTTTTATAAGGCTAAAATTATGTCATAATTAAAGTCACCGGAATAAATTTAACAAACACAAACAGCACCGCACAACACAAAGGGCACTAGGTCAGTAGTTCCAAAACAACCACAAGCAGTAGCCTCCCTTGGGCACTGCCTTCGTCCGAGCCGCCAGTCCCTCACGGATGAGGGGCCAACTGTGCTTACAGCACAGGCTTTGGGGGCCTCACAAGTCAAAGCGCGTCCACGTGCCGGGATGCTTAGCACTGACCTGGAGTCTGAACCAATCAGCCAGCTTGTCGTGGAAGTCAGACACACATTCTAACAGAACTCCAAACATTCTAGTGACATTCTTACCTGTTTTCTTTCCACAAGTGCATTTGTTAGCTGATGGCAGAGCCCAGCAACTAGATACAACAATAACAAAATATTCAGAACAGAAATAATTACAAGGACAAAAAGCATTCAATGGAACAGCAAGTGTTATTCCGCTTACAAGTATCTGTCGCATATCGAATGTGCTCCCCGTTACAAGTACTGATGAAGAGCTGAACCTGTGAGAATAATGTTTCAAAGTCAGGAACGCTGGGCATAGAGAACTTCACGAACCTAGAATGAGGAGAAAACGGTCTCATTACCCTGACGTCCCATGGGGTAAAATGTAGAAGCAACCTGTGCCAGAAGCCCATCCTGCCTCCAATACTCTATTAAAATTAAGTAAGTGATGATGTTCTAAAAAAATTAAGAACCCAAGTAAATGAGGTTCTCCAAGCCTGGTCAATTAAGATTTGGGATACAGACAGCACAGGAGTTAAAAAAAAAAAAAAAAAACTTCAAAAAGTCCAATTTTCAGAGACCAGCAGATGGAGTAATGTTTACATTGCGGGACTCCCATGTACATGACTGTGGTCTGAGTCCTGGACTTGGCAGCTTAAACTCATGCCGGGCACAGGTGCGCGTGTGTTCAAAATCCCGAGAGAAGAGTGGAGAAGGGATTGTAGTGTGGTCGTCCCCTTTGGGGGGTGATTTCTCTCCTTCTGTGTCTCTGTCTCTGTTTCTCTGGCGAGCTCACGCACCCTACAGCAAAAACCTCTCCTACAAAAATAGTACAATTTTCAAAGCAAAAAGCTCCATTAAACATGCCTAATCAAGAAGCTAATACTTGTTGGGAGTTAGCATAATGGCTATGTCGTTAAACTCCCACATAGTCGACTGCGGTTCAAGTCCCGGACCCAGTGGCTTACATTCATGCCAGGCATGTGTGCGTGCCTGCCCAAGATCCCGAGAAGAGAATGGAGGAGAAGGGATTACGCCTTGGCCATTCACCATAGGGGTGTTTTCTCCCTTTCTCTTGGCTCTCTCTGGTGAGTGCCAATGCCCTCTAGCAAAAAAAAAAAAAAAGCAGCAGCAGCAGCTAATACTTGTGAAGGAACTACAATACATATTTTTTTTTTTTTTTGCTAGAGGGCATGTGCACTCACCAGAGAGAGACAAGAGAAAGGGAGAAAACACCCCTATGGTGAATGGCCAAGGCGTAATCCCTTCTCCTCCATGTGTTTCCACTTTTTGGGATTTGGGGCACACACACAAACACACACTTGCTTGGTGGTTTCCTGGTATTTTTTTTTCAAACCACCAGATACTGGAGCTGGCCCTAAACATAAACTTTAAATCAAAAGAAACCTTTTGAAGTTTCTTCTCCAATGTGGTCAGGACTGTGACTCATTTAAAGCGTAGTTGTAATCCTAAGCCATAGGTGGAGAGAATAACTTCTTTTTATAGTCTGACTTAGGAAAAAGTGCTATAATTGGCCTTCCCAGTAATGTGTCAGTAGTGGTTCATTAATTGTGACAAATGCAGCATGCGAATATAAAGTGTTAATAATGAGGGAAACTGGTGCTGAATATGTAGGAACGTTCTCTACTTATTTGCAGTAATTCTGTAAATGAATACTTTTGAAAACTAAAAGTTTATGTTAAAAAAAAAACAAAACCTCAGTTGTAGGACAGCAGATGACACGTGTAGTGGTTAAAGCGCTGGATTCCCACATGGCTGACCGTACCTCGAGTCCCAGACCCAGTGGCTTGAACATCACATCAGGTGTGTGTGTGTGTGTGTGCGTGCCCAAGACCCCAAGAGATGTTTGGAGGAGAACGGACTGCGCATGGCCATTCCCCCTGGGGCTGATTTCTCATTTTCTGTCTCTCTGTCTCTCTGGCAAGCACAGGTACCTTATGGCAAAAACCTACAAAGACAAAAGAAACCCCTCAGTTGCCGTTCCTGCTTTGAGGTGAGCATGCCAAAGGGGCTGAGGGATGTGACTGGCTGGAGTTCGTGGCAGTGGCTCAGGGTGGAGTTACTGCTGCCAGGACTCAGGCAATGCCGTGGTCTATCTGGGAGAATGACCCGGGAACTGGCTGATGGGCAGGGCGGAGAGGAGGGAGGACAGGGCGACCCATGCAGAGTAACTCAGCAGTGGTGCCACCAAGTGCCATGAGAAACTTGCCAGGCAGGAGTCAGAGATGAGTGTGAGGAGAAAGCACATAAGCCACCACCACAAGCTTCTCAAAAGAAGGGGGGAATGGTAGCAAGTGGCATGGTGGTTAAGACACTGGATTCCCACATGGCCAACTATGATTCGAGTTCTGGACCCAGTGGCTTGAAAGTCACTACAAATAAATAAATAAATGTTCAAAAAATTGAACTATTAGGACTAATTTTGAGAAAAATGAAACGGAAGAATGCTGTTACCTGACCACAATTTCTCCCACACCCTCCTGTTTGTCTATGTCCCTCTGTGCAGCATCATGTAACTATGCCAACTTACACCTGTGATTACAATTCGTAATGGCCAAGTGTGTCAGAGACAACTTCACCTGGGGTCCACACTGGGCCACAAGGCACTGTGCTCTCCATTTACGCACTGCATACCGAGCTCACGGGGGGGTGTACATGTGCTCCCCAACCTACTGCGGTTACGGTCCAGTAAACCCAGGATAAAGTCAAAACCTCCTAAGCCAAGGACCATCTGCAGATCCAAATTCAGGGTACTCGGCCACCAGTCTGAGAGTCTTTCCATGCATTTTCTTTTTTATAATTTCTTTTAAAAATTATTTAACTTTGTTGTCGTTGTTGTTATTATTATTTATCTGATCAGAGAGAGAGAGAAAGCAGGCTGCTGAGTCTGGGACTCTAACTGTGGTCAGTCATCCAGTGCCTTCGCCACCATGCCACCTGCTGGCCCCTTTCCATGCATCTTCTGTCCTAAGTGATATGCAGTGGTGACGCATGCTTTCATGTACTTCGTCTCACCGACAGATACGTACGAGGGAGTTCGTGTGTGTAATCGTGAGCTGTCTGTTCTGCTAGGGAGTCAGGAAAGCCATGACGTACGTTTTTCTATGCAAAAACACGTCATGACTTTTTTGACTACCCAATGCGTAAGAAAGCAGGAGGGGGACCAGCAGTTGGCATAACAGCTATGTCGCTGGACTCCCACGTAGTCGACCACGGTTCGTGTCCCGGACCTGGTGGCTTAAACTCACACCAGGTGCGTGTGCGTGCGTGCCCAAGATCCCGAGAGGAGAATGGAGGAGAAGGGATTGCGGCGTGGCCATCCCCCCCGGGGGGGGGGTGATTTCTCACTTTCTGTCTGTCTGTCTGGCGAGCACACGTGCCCTATAGCAAAAACCTCTCCAAAAAAAAAAAAAGAAAGCAGGGGCACTCCTCACTATCACTCCAGGACTGTGCAACTGTGGGGATGCTCTGAGCTGCGCTGCCAGGATGGTAGCTCGCGGAGGCCCGGCGTGCCCGAACCAGAGTGCAGCCGAGGAGGCATTTCTGTAACTTCTCTAATTGTATGGTCATGCCTAGGTCCTGGGCACCGGACCCTTTCTGATGCGTCTGTGCCTCAGGAATCCCAGCATGAGGGAAGCTAGGCCTCTCGTCAGGGCAGTTTTTTTTCTGCGTATGCGATTTCAAATTTCATGATAACCACAACGTCCCAATTTATAATACAGTAACATTAAGAGAAAAAGATTTTTTCTCCTTTTTCTTTTCTTTAAGTTTTTGCTACAGGGCACGTGTGCTTGCTGGGGGGGGGGGTGGCGGGGAGACAGAGAGAGAGAGAGAGAGACTCTGAAATCACCTCCCAGGGAGATGGCCACACCACAATCCCTTCTCTTCCATTCTCAAACTCTTGGGATTTTGGGCACGCGCACACACGCACCCGGTGTGTTTTCAAGGCGCTAGGTTCTGGACTTGAACCACCATGCAGTTGGCCACGTGGGATCCAGCCACTTGAACCTTTGTACCACCTGCTGGCCCAAGAGGAAAAGGATTCTACTGTTAGGTACACAGAGTTACAAGGGATCTCAACTGAAATAAAGCCTACTTAATTTGATCTTAGAAAGCTTCAGTTTGTTTGAAGGGAATTCTGAGCAATGCTGCTTTGGGCCATGGCCATTCTCATTCAGTGTATCCCACCATTTCCTGTCCATCACTCTTCCTATGTTCGTTCCCTGTTAGAAAACGTGGACAAACTTATGGATTATGTGAAGAGCAGTATTCAGATAAACGCAAACTTCAGTGCCCACAACTGAGGTGGCCATTCATTTTTTAAATTTAATTTTCAAAATTTATAGAGTTTAAAATATTATAAAAACTGGACAAAACATACTAAGCCATGACTAGCTGAAGTTGGAATGAGTAAAATGTAACCCCTATGCTAAGACTTCAGTTTTGTAAGAGTTCAATGTAGTTTACATGGTTTACTTTCTACACCAAAACAATACAGCCGGCAAGTACAGAACGGTCCGTTTTAAACAAGCACAAAACGAGAGAACTGCCTCTTACAAAACAGCAAGGACGCCCAAGGAGTGCTCCTGTACATCCAGAGCCCCGAGCACAGTGTCCAGGTGGGATAAGTTCTTCGCCAGCAGTTCCCCACTCTTGTTGATCAGTTCGCAAAGCTGGGTCATTTGCCCTGGAAAACAGAAACGCCATCATTCAGGTACAGCACTAACCAGACCTCAGCTCTGACCACAGACGCATACCTCCTGGCTCAGTGCCAGGTGATGTCCTGTCACAGGGACCAAAGAAGTCAGCAACCTGCCCACAGCCTCAGAACGATTCCTAGCTAAAGATCACAAGAGCCCTCCCATTTACCTCTGGCCCTTGAAAAGGTCTTCTTTTTCTCCATCCCTTTCCCCAGTTCCCTAAGCAAGAAATGTACCACCGCCCTCATCACCACCGCCCTCACCTCTCTCTCGGCATCCGAGTATCACCAAATACGACTGAACTTCACTTCCTACCTCAGGGCCATTCCTCCCTTCCTTAATTTGGATCCTCAGTTCCTGTCCGGGCTACACTGTGAATCTTCTCAGCAGTCCCCTACTTTGACCTTTCTCTCCTCTAGCCATACTCCACCTTGGCATGTGTCTACTCTCTCTAAAACAGAAATGCAATACTTACTCCAATGGCTTTAAAAAGTTCAAATGGGACCAGACGGTGGCACAGCAGTAACCCTCAAGGCTCTGCAGAGGCTGACCTACAAGGGAAAGTTCTCGGTTCACATCCTAAGAGTTCCTTGAGTGTGCTGGGCACAAGCGTGCCCACAGTCTGGGGGAGGACCGCAGCATCAGGACCCTGCTGGACATGCTGCCTCTCTTGTTCACAGATGAAGGGAAAAAAATGGGGAGAGAAAAAAGTCCACATGCCTGCTCTGGCTTCTGATGGCCCTTCAGTAATGTGTCCCTGCCACCTCTCCTGCCTTACCTCCTGCCATTCCCTTCACACTCCTACCCTTTGGTCACACCAAGCTCAAGAGATCACCATTCCAAGTTCTGTCTTTATGCTTCCGCATGTGCCTTTCTCACGTCCCTTGCTCCTTGACTCGTGTTAGCAGAGAGCCAGCCTGGGCCTTCCCCATACCCTCATCTCACCGCCACTGCCCCAGCTAAGATGGATCGCTGTCTTCTCTGTGGCCTCTGCATGCATGGGGTTGCGGTGGCTGGGAAACCCAGGGGGAGGAACTGTTTCCCCAGCTTCAGAGTACAGTGCTCACTTCTCAGCCAATCACCCGGCAGCTAATTAGTTACTCTCCTAATTGATCCCTGGATCCTTCCCCAAAGTGTCCAATATAATAAGGCCCAAATGTGTTCCTTTTTTGATGGTTACTCTGATGACAGACACCACGGCCACACTCCGCTGACTTTCCTGGTGGTTATGGGGGCATATAGAAATCCATGGGCATGAACCTCAAGTTTCTTCCTTTGATATTTCTACATAGTAGCTGGGTGATTTTTTTCCTTATTAAAAGAACACTCAAATAATATAATCCTTAAAATCCATAGTACCTGTAGTTGTTTGTTTTGTTTTAGGTTTTTGCCATAGGACATGTGCACTCACAAGAAAGACAGAGAGAGAAAAAGTGAGAAATCACTCCCGGGGGGTGGGGGTGGTGGCCATACCACAATCCCTTCTCAATTCTCCTCCTGGGATTTGGGGTATACGCGTACACCTGCCCAGCGTGATTTTCAAGCCACTGGGTCCGGATCTCAAACTACAGTCAGCCACATGGGAGTCCAGTGCCCTAACCATGCTGCCACCTGCTGACCACAGCTAGGTACTTTTATTTAATTTCCTGAGGTTCTACAGCACAATACTTTTTTCCCTTTTATTCCCTCTTATAGTGCACGCATGCACACAAGCGAGAGGAGCGCCCTCCGCAGGGTCTGGTGAGGTTGCAGCCGCCTTCCTCCAGGCCTGGGGCCTAGGATCTCGGGCACTCCCACGTGTGCCTGGTGTGCTTCTGGCTGACCAGGCTGGGATTCACACTCAGTCACCGTGTGGGATCCAGCTTCTCTAGAGCAGCGTGTTACTGCTGCAACACAGCTAGCCTCATAACATGTCTTAAATGAGAATATAGCAAAAACTAAGGAACTATCCTACCTACATATGCTGCAAAACAAGACTAAGCAAACGTCTGTGATCTCGTTAGGTATAGCCTTTCAGGGTAACACAATCTGAACTGAGAAATTCCAACTCACTACTATTTTATTAGTGAATCTCACTGGTAGGTGTGAGATAACCTTCCAGTTGAATAAAAAAATTTAAGTCCACTACTCTAAATACATTTTACAACAATTTGGAAGATCGAGAAATAAGTGGTTCATCGGTTTTTCCCCCAATTAACCAATACTGCGTTGAGACAAAAGCTGTGATTAGATGGAAGGTGACTTGGCCAAGGTCACGCACGTCCTAGCACCTAGCAAGGAATGGCCGTGAACAGTAATTTGTAGCTGTATTTATTGCACCCCACAGGACAGGCTCCGACCCCGGCGCGTTCTCAAGGCTTCTCTCATTCAGCCCTCACAACAACTCTACAAAGTAGGGCCTTCTTTTTAATTTTGCAGATGAAGAAACTGAAACGAAGAACGGCTGAAAGAGCCTTCGATGCCGGCATCGAATTACTCTAATTCCAGGTCCAGGGCTCTGTATTCAGACGTTGACATGAAGGAACGAAACAACTTGAAAATTAAGGGCACAATCCCCGTGGCAACGGTTCTGCCCCTAGACATGGACTCCTACGAGCGAGAGCTCCCTCGGCACTCCGTAGGACCAAAATAGGCGCGGAGGCTCCGGAGCTGCGCCGGGCGGCAGCACACGCGCCGGCCACGGCGAGCCTCCGGGCCCAGGCGCCCAGAAAGGACTCGCCTCGCGCCGGCTCCCCACTGCCTAGTCAGGCGGCGGCTGGGCGGCGGCGGGACTGGCAGGGAGGGGCACCCAACCACCCACGGCGGGCACCGCGACGGGGTTGCGGTGGCTGGGAAACCCAGGGGGAGGAACTGTTTCCCCAGCTTCAGAGTACAGTGCTCACTTCTCAGCCAATCACCCGGCAGCTAATTAGTTACTCTCCTAATTGATCCCTGGATCCTTCCCCAAAGTGTCCAATATAATAAGGCCCAAATGTGTTCCTTTTTTGATGGTTACTCTGATGACAGACACCACGGCCACACTCCGCTGACTTTCCTGGTGGTTATGGGGGCATATAGAAATCCATGGGCATGAACCTCAAGTTTCTTCCTTTGATATTTCTACATAGTAGCTGGGTGATTTTTTTCCTTATTAAAAGAACACTCAAATAATATAATCCTTAAAATCCATAGTACCTGTAGTTGTTTGTTTTGTTTTAGGTTTTTGCCATAGGACATGTGCACTCACAAGAAAGACAGAGAGAGAAAAAGTGAGAAATCACTCCCGGGGGGTGGGGGTGGTGGCCATACCACAATCCCTTCTCAATTCTCCTCCTGGGATTTGGGGTATACGCGTACACCTGCCCAGCGTGATTTTCAAGCCACTGGGTCCGGATCTCAAACTACAGTCAGCCACATGGGAGTCCAGTGCCCTAACCATGCTGCCACCTGCTGACCACAGCTAGGTACTTTTATTTAATTTCCTGAGGTTCTACAGCACAATACTTTTTTCCCTTTTATTCCCTCTTATAGTGCACGCATGCACACAAGCGAGAGGAGCGCCCTCCGCAGGGTCTGGTGAGGTTGCAGCCGCCTTCCTCCAGGCCTGGGGCCTAGGATCTCGGGCACTCCCACGTGTGCCTGGTGTGCTTCTGGCTGACCAGGCTGGGATTCACACTCAGTCACCGTGTGGGATCCAGCTTCTCTAGAGCAGCGTGTTACTGCTGCAACACAGCTAGCCTCATAACATGTCTTAAATGAGAATATAGCAAAAACTAAGGAACTATCCTACCTACATATGCTGCAAAACAAGACTAAGCAAACGTCTGTGATCTCGTTAGGTATAGCCTTTCAGGGTAACACAATCTGAACTGAGAAATTCCAACTCACTACTATTTTATTAGTGAATCTCACTGGTAGGTGTGAGATAACCTTCCAGTTGAATAAAAAAATTTAAGTCCACTACTCTAAATACATTTTACAACAATTTGGAAGATCGAGAAATAAGTGGTTCATCGGTTTTTCCCCCAATTAACCAATACTGCGTTGAGACAAAAGCTGTGATTAGATGGAAGGTGACTTGGCCAAGGTCATGCACGTCCTAGCACCTAGCAAGGAATGGCCGTGAACAGTAATTTGTAGCTGTATTTATTGCACCCCACAGGACAGGCTCCGACCCCGGCGCGTTCTCAAGGCTTCTCTCATTCAGCCCTCACAACAACTCTACAAAGTAGGGCCTTCTTTTTAATTTTGCAGATGAAGAAACTGAAACGAAGAACGGCTGAAAGAGCCTTCGATGCCGGCATCGAATTACTCTAATTCCAGGTCCAGGGCTCTGTATTCAGACGTTGACATGAAGGAACGAAACAACTTGAAAATTAAGGGCACAATCCCCGTGGCAACGGTTCTGCCCCTAGACATGGACTCCTACGAGCGAGAGCTCCCTCGGCACTCCGTAGGACCAAAATAGGCGCGGAGGCTCCGGAGCTGCGCCGGGCGGCAGCACACGCGCCGGCCACGGCGAGCCTCCGGGCCCAGGCGCCCAGAAAGGACTCGCCTCGCGCCGGCTCCCCACTGCCTAGTCAGGCGGCGGCTGGGCGGCGGCGGGACTGGCAGGCAGGAGCACCAATCACCGAAGGCGAGGCACGCCGACGGCGCCAATGAGCGCTCGGGAGGGCGCACGGCGGAAGTCACGCCCCCAAACTGTCAAGCTCAGCGCCCCGCGGCAGGGGCCCGGCCGGGGGAGGAGGGGCCCGGCGGGCGCGAATCCGGCCCCGGAGAAGCGGCTCGGACTGAGAGGGCGGGCCCAGCCGTCCGCGCTGGAGCCTGAGGATGCAGGCCCGTCCGCTCACCCAGGCCCAGCCCCGCGGCCCAGCGCCTCACCTTGAGCCGAGAGCTGCCGGACACTGTTCACGAACTGCTCCAAGGCAGACGCCATGTTTCCCCCGCGCGGCCCGAGCAGCAGGAGCAGCTCGCGCGGGAAAAGGCGGCCGCTCTGGGAGGAGGGGCCGCGGCTACCCACCCGACGGCCTCGCGAGCGGCCCGACGTCACTTCCGCCGGCTCAAGTTCCGCGAGAACTCACCTAGCTGGGAACGCGCCACCGTTTCCATGGAAACAGTTCTGCGGCCCGCCGTACCGGAAGTTAGCGCTTCTCTGTCCCCGGTCTAGTCTGTGCACCTGTGAAATCCCACCCTCTGTTGAGTGGGGACCATGGGCAAAGGAAGAGACAGAACTCGTAACTAATACACGTTTTCTGGTCCAGATTTTGCCGGAAATGGCTGTGACGTTTTCGGTCTGGCCGGTTCCTTCACACACAGCCTAATTGCCCTGTCTCCCATGAGGTTTTTCCTGTGAGGTGACAGAATGTAGACACTGGCCCTGAGCACTCTGGTTCAAGTCCCGTTACCACCACTTAGTAGTTGTGTGACTTTGGGCAACTTACTTGACCGTCCTATGCCTTGTTTTATTCTTCTATCAAATTCTAACCGTGCCCTCTACCACCGTGCCTAGCACATTTTGGAGGGAGAAGGAGGGCTTCAAAAAGTTCACAGAATATGCATATTATGAAAGTTATGCATAGATTTTAAAAAGTTTTGCACCAAAATCAACTCCTACTTTAACTGTTTTCCATGAACTTTTTCGAATTCTCATAGCAAGAACTATGTCCTCCACCAAAGCAGAATAGCCCACCTGGGATTGAGTTCTTCCTCACTTGGCCCCCAACGCGCTTTGCTCTCCTCATGCAGCCACTTCTACTCTGCTGTAGAAGTTCATCTCCATCGTCGACACCATGTCTCTAGAGTCCCCAGTTGTTCCACTTTTCTGTTTTGTCCTGCTAGAGAAAAACGGAAGTGTTTTGAACATCCTCCATGCTGAGCCCAAGCTGGGGCCTTGACTATTCCTGGGAACTGATAAAGCATTTACGTTGTTGCCCAGAACATGGAAAGAAACAAACCCTGGCCCTGTGCCTAACTTCTTAAACTGACATAAATTTCATGCTTAGCCCCCTAATTGCAGACATCCTTAGGTAGAAATTGTCTGCTGCTGTCCATCGAGAGGTACGCCACAACTCACTCTGTAAATAAGTTCCCCTAATCAATATTTTAGGCTCATCTTCCTGGTCTTCAGTGCTTGTTTTGGAATCCCAACCAGTACCACCTACTGCCGGCTTGGAGCTCTCCCTTGCGGGAACTCCCCGTTGGTACTTTGGGAGCAGTTCCAGTCCCTGTTCCCATTATTGTAGTCAAGTCAGCGAGAAATAAGAGGACGTCCAGACATAGCCAAATACTGGAGTTTATTGCAGGTGCCTTATGGGAGGACTCATGTCTCTCAAAGATCCTGCAACCCTGAGTGAAAGGAGAGGCATGCTTATGAAGGCAAAGATCACCATCAGTTCTGGGCTGATGTGGCGATTACAATGGGAAATGAGGAGCGGGTGGAGAGGAAAGGGAGGGGGTTCCTATGCGAAAGCAGTTACAGAACCTGAATGAAGCAGGTTAATCTTTTTTTTTTTTTTTTGAGAGAGGTTTTCGCTCTAGGGTGCATGCGCTTGCCAGACAAACAGAGACATAGAGACAGAAAGCGAGAAATCACCCCCCAGAGGGGATGGTCACGCCACAATCCCTTTTCCTCCATTCTCCTCTCAGGATCTTGGGCGCGTGTGGCATGAGTGCTAAGCCACCGGGTCCGGGACGCGAACCGTGGTCGACTGACTACGTGGGAATCCAGTGACATAGCCATTATGCTAATCCCAGGTTAATCATTTCTAAGGGCACTCTCCAGACTGTTGTTCAATGGTCCCCATGGCTCCGGGCAGGGATCTGTGACTGGTAGTTACATTGGAACATTTGCAAAAAGGAACATCTAAAGAAAAAGGTTTCAGGCTATTAGCAAAGATAGTAAGACTACTAATCACTATTTACTCTGGGCAAAAAGAGGAAGCAAGTATGAAGTTCAACGACCACCAAACAAAACAGTATCCCTTGCTCCTAACTGGTATGGAGCTCCTGAAGGTCAAGCATTCCTCTCGCTAATGTGTTTCCCGATAGAGCCTAGCACAGGGTTGGTGTGTAGTCAGGACTCAGTAAATAAACACGTATTTTAAGACTTCATCTGATATTTATTTATTGAGCACCTTCAACAGGCAGAACTATGCAGAGAAATGTGCTGGTGAGTAAAAACAGCTTTAGCTCTTCTCTCCTGCGGGAAACACTTAGGAGGACAGTAGGATAATGGGGGCTGGTACAATGGAGAAATGGAACATGCGACAGAGGAAACGGACCCGACCTTGAGGAAATGGCACAAACCAAGCTCTAAAGGAAGAGAAGGACCCAGTCTCACGGGCACAGTTACTAGTATATGCTGAACAGCAGTGCTGGAAGCCACGTGGCTAACCAGGGTTCTAATCCCTAGCCTAGACGATGAAACGTGCCAGGTGTGCCTGAGATCCTGAGGCTGGGGGGAGGGAACCACCTCACAACCAGGCCTTGTCATGGGAGCCTGTCTCTCCCTCTTTCTGTCCTCCCCCTGTAAGAATAAAGTTAGACTATCCTGTCTTACAAAGATAAAGTCTAACCTTTGCCTCTTTCACTTCTGTACTAAAGCAGATGCTGCTGAAGTTGTGGAAACCTAGGGTAATTCGTTAACACCTTGCAGGGAGCCCAGAGCCATTTGTAAACTAGTCTGGCAAGCTAGTTTAGCACCTTACAGGAAGCCCGGACCCTTGTATTGTAAAAGTCCCCCCTTCTGCTAGCCCCGGAAATCCAGATCAAATGCTCCTGCAAACCTGACCAAATGGCTACAACTGTAAAGATAAACGTCTTTGTCTTGCCTGAGCAAGCAACTTCAGGGTCGCCATAAAATTACCCTTGATACCCCTTATCTTGCTTCCTCACTCTCTCCTCCCCTCACCCCACGGACTCATGTCTATATAACCTGAATACTCCTTTGTTCGGGGCTTCACTCTTAGCCATGTCTTGTATGACTGAGAGTGGAGTCCTAGCGCGCTAGCAATAAAGCCTCTTGTATTTTACATCAAGAACCGACTTTTGTGGTTGATTGGGGTCACCGTTGCCGTACCACTCCCTGGACAAGGAGGTTCAGCGAGTTGCTGGCAAAAACCTTTCACCCCCACCACCTTATTAGAGCACACACACAATCATGAAAAAAAAAATCACTTTTAAAGAGGAGGAGGAAGGTCCCTGAGTGCGGGGCCGCATGTGTTGAGACGCCGTGTTGGAAGCAGTATGCCGTTTGAGGCTGAGCGACCGGAAGGTCATCGCATTTGGAGCTGAGGCTGTGAGCAGGACCGGGGCAGCATCAAGTCGTCTGTCTTAAGGTTACCAGATTTGATAGTGTCACAGCAGAGACATGACTAGACCCATATAGGAAGGCCCCAGTTATGTATCCCAGGCCACCACGCACATGCCAGGGGTGTGCGTCCCATGATTCATGCTGGTCAGGGGTCGATCATGAAATAAGTAAATAATAAACTTTTTTTTTTCTTTTGGAGAGGTTTTTGCTATAGGGCACATGCACTCACCAGAAAGACAGAGAGAGACAGAGAGACAGAAAGTGAGAAATCACCCCCCAGAGGGGGTGACCACGCTGCAATCCCTTCTCCTCCATTCTCCTCTCGGGATCTTGGGCACGTACGCACACGTACCTTGCATGAGTTTAAACCACTGGGTCCGGGACTCGAACCACGGTCGACTACATGGGAGTTCAGTGACATAGCCATTATGCTAACTGCTGGTCCCAATAATAAACTTTTAAAAAAGAAGAAAAATCTAGCCTGCGGCCTGGTGGTTAAGGTAGCTGGATCCCACATGGCCAACTGCATAGACTGAGTCCTGGACCCAGCAGATTAAAAAAACACACCAAACGTGTGGGCGTGTACTCAAAATCCCAAGAGGAAAGTGGAGGAGAAGGAATTGTGTACTTTCTCATCCCCCCCCCCACCATTATCTCCCTCCCCCTTCTCTCATCAGTGAATACACACACCCTCTAGAAATTGAGAAAAAAAAAAATCAAGAAAGACAAAGAAGTAGAAGATGGGACCAGCAGATGATGTAATGGTTACGTCACTGGACTCCCAGGTAGTCCACTGCAGTTCAAGTCCCAGACCTGATCATTTGAAATTCACGCTGGGCGCGTGTGTGTGCATGCCCAAGATTGCAAGAGGCAAATGGAGAAGGGATTGTGGTGTGGTCATCCTGCTGGGAACTGATTTCTCATTTTCTATCTCTCTGGCAAGTGTATGCACCCTTTAGCAAAAAATATCTCAAAAAAAAAAAAAAAAGTAAAAGAATAATGAAACTGGACTTCGGCTGGGTCGTGGTGGTGTGGGCCACTAGGACACTGTTCCCCACAAGTCTGGTTCAACTCCTGGTCAAGGCAAAGGCTGGGCATGGTGGCATGTGCCCGCAAGCTCAGTGACTAAGTGGCTGAGGTGGGGGAGCATGACACAGCCAGCCCTCGTCTAAACAAAGAGACTGGAAGATTAGGAAGACAACAGACAACGGAGAGGTTTGTTTCCTTTTGTTTAGTTTTTCTAGAGGGTGCATGCGCTTGCTGGAGAGAGATAGAGAGAGAGAGAAGGAAAGTGAGAAAGAGCCCCCTCCCACCTCGGGGGAAGCCCATGCTGCAATCCCTTTTCATTTCTCCTTTCAGGATTTTGCTCCTGGTGTGTTTTTCATGTCCCCAGGTCTGGGACTCGAACGGCCCGGTCGGCCGTGTGGGATCCAGTCACTTTAGTCACCATGCCACCCGACAGTGAAGAGTCTGATGCAAGCAGATAGTGCGATCAGAGTTTTATTTAGAAAAGGTTGGCCTGGCTTCATGTGGATTACTCAGAGAGCCAATTAGCAAGGTATTGCAGCAGTCAATGTGAAATATAAGAAGTAAAAATGTGCCTTGAATGTAGGGTGGGGGGTCAGCCCTGTGGCCTAGTGGTTAGGTCTCATATGGTCAACGCGTGGGAGGAATCTCTGAGCTGGTGGCTTGTGTGTGTGCCCCAAATCCCAGCTGAGTGGAGAATCGGAGGAGAAGAGATTG